TGGGTGTCAAATGTGATTGCGTCAAGTGATGTCACATATCATGTTGTTTTTTGCCTTTGTGAAGCCAGGGTGGGCGTGGCCTGCACATGATGCATCCAGCCTGCAAGCCGCCAGTTTAACACCCCTGCATGAAGTTGTTCAGATTCTTCACAATCATTTCAACTCCGCTTGTAAGTCCAGTTTCAGATGATGTCAGTGCAGTTTTTTGAGCCAGTTTTTGCTAGCTCCCAAGATTGGACAGGCGTGAAGCTAAAGTCGTTCCTCCTTCCTTCCCTTTGTGGATTATAGAAGGTCGTCACAGAACCATAGAGAAACATTGCAGAATCCACTGGCATTTCTCTGACAGAAGTTGACCAACCAGCTTGTTTGAAAATCTCTAAAGAATGCACCACTTCATGTGTTCTGCTGACTGACAGTTTGTATAGTCAGGCTTTCATCCAGGTGTTTAGCATGAACTTGATTACTTCCATTAAAACTTCCTTTTAATCCATTTGTCTGGGCCTATCTCTAGAACAAGATAGTAAGTTAATTCCTTTGGTGCAATATCCCACCTGATATTTTTTGAAGACTACAGTCATCTCTCTCTTTAGCTGTCTATTCTGTAAGCTAAGCATGTGAATTTTATGGCAAATAGAAGATATTTGTTCCTCAATCTTTGGAGATTAACCAGTTCTACAGCAGTTCTCAAAAATTACCATGTTCTTGCAATCTGAGAAATCATTTAAATTAGTTAAATTCACTATTAGCCTTGCCAGTTCTAATCTGGTTTCCTCAGTCTCCAAGTGCATAACAACATCCAGCTCAATTGTCCTTTTGAGAAAAAAGATGCAAAGTAAGAATTAGTGAGTTCTATCTTCACCATTGCTCTATGGATAGAGAGGCCATCTGCTGTTCATTCAGCTCCCCCTTTGCACGTTAAAATGGACATTTCCCCCTCCTTGCTTATTACTTCTACAAATTAATTGTTCCAATTAAGTGATGTTGTAGTTGCATTACTGCTAGTGAAAACACTGCTGTGATATTTTTGCTAGGAGACATATTAAATACAGCCATTTTTTTAAAAAAAAGTATCGATTTGTCTTTACAGCTTCTTCCCATCCACTCTTTCGCCTTGCATTACCCCTCAGGATATCTTCTGCCTGACATTTTAAAAAATCCCTTCTCAAAGCCATGATTAGAAAAATTAGAACAGCGGCTAAAAGGATAATCAGAGGGAAGAGCACAGAAAGGTCTGCCAGTCAAGAAAAGGGACAGGGTGATGGCCACTGGAGGCCTGGTGTTTCTTGAGGAAGCAGTGCCACAGTCTTGGCTCATGAGCTAAGCTGGGATGGGGGTCAATGAGAGGCATGATTCTTCCTCTAGCACAGGGGTGTAAAACTTGTGGCCTGTAGGCCGGATGCATCATGCACTGGCTACGCCCACTCCCACTTTAGCGAAGGGAAAAGTCAAATACGTCACGTGACGATGTGAGTTTGACACCCCTGCTCTAGCACAAGTGGAGGGCATGATAGAGTTGACTGCTCAATCAAACAGCTCATTCCTTTACAATAGGCAAGTTGTGATTGATTTTGATAGTTGAGGACAGTTGCTTTCTTCTGAATTATCTTACTGGGAATGACCCGGAGACCGATCACTACCAGCAAAATAGAGAAGTTGTGATTACATAGTTGGTGGTAGCACAGGGGAGCATTCCACCCCTATGATTGAAGATCGGAGCTAGGCTACTTGCCCTTAGCACAAGTGTTGAGTGTTTAGGAATCTGCTTAAATATCATCCAAGCATCCTTGCTACAGATGGAAATTCATGGTGCCAACAAGTAACAAGGCTATTTACAAGGCAACTAGAAAAAAGGCTATTCTCAAAATTATTCCAGAAATTTCTTGCTAGAAATGTAAGGGTTTATCTTTTGGGGCATTTTTTTTAGCCCTGCCACAGTTAAACTATATTTTCAATACTATTAGCATAATATTGGTATTTCAGATAGCTTTTATGGCTGCCTTAATATTTTGTGCATATTTGCATGGTGCACACATCCCAGCTTCTAGGCTCCTCTCTTCCTGCCACCTCCACATTTCCTCTTTTAAAAAGAAAAATTGTTTGGAGGATGAAAACAGGGACTAAAATAAATGTATTTCAAAAGTTTTTTTCCCCCTTGCTGGTGGAGTATTGATTTAAAATCTCTTTGGCCTAAAGAAGACTGCATTCACAATAAGACATTTCCCCCCTCTATAATAAGGAATTTGGCTTGTATCGATATACCAGTATTATATTCTTTGTCATCACTGCTCTCCTTTATAGACATTTTGGGAGATTAAAAATTCTGTTTGTACCCTGTTTCCCTGAAAATAAGAACTCCCCGGATAATAAGCCCAATCGGGCTTTTGAGTGCATGCGCTAAAATAAGCCCTTCCCCCGAAAATAAGCCCTCCCCAAAAATATTGCAACACAGCAGCAGCCAGGAGGTGACCATGCTCACTGCCTCCTGCACCTCAAAAGTAATAAGACCTCCCTGAAACTAAGGCCAAGTGCTTATTTCGGTTCAAAGAAAATGAGACCCTGTCTTATTTTCGGGGAAACGCGGTACTTGCTTAGGAATAATTTCCATTTAAGAACAATATTACTTTGCTTAATATAAAATAGTTGTGTGGTTTATGAAGGCCAGATGACTTTGGAAAAAAAGGAACCATTCCAATAAAATAAAATTATTTATTTAATTAGAAATAATCAGTAACTTTATTTCCAGGCCTCCTCATCAAAGGAGTCCTTTATACTTTTTGCAAAACAAGATACAACATGATAACAAACAGATAAATCATTGCCTTCTACCAAAAAGAAGACGGATCCTGGAATTGTTTTTACAAAGCCTAATTTGTTCCTCTTTAATTCTTTTTTTTTTCAATGTATTGAGTTCCTTTTGTTAAAGAGTGGGCAGCTTTCAGTCCTTGAGCCATACAGGGCCCAATCCCTTTCTGAGACCCAGAGCCTTTCCAAAACAGAGGTAAAATTTCAGAAGCACAAATTCCAAACCACAATGGTGTGATTTGGAAGTGTGTGTGAAAAATAAAAGGAGTAAAATGAGGCAATAAGCCCTATGGTAGGTTCAATATTTTTTATTTTTTTAAAGCCCCACATATTCCAAAAGGGACTGAAAATTATAGCTGTAATCATTCCAATACCATTGCTGCTTCTCTCCTACAGCCACTAACAGCTGAAAAATAAAGACGCTTACACTTTTGAAGTGTCTCCACGGTCACATGATCAAAATCCACATGCTTGCCGAGCAACATAAACAGCATTTATGATGGGTTGCAGTCATCCGGGAGTCACATGTTTGCCATTTGTGAAGTTTGCCATTTCCAAAGTCAAAGGGGTGGGGGGGAAGGAGCTGGATTCATTTAAGACCATGGCAAAAAAAAAAGAGATAAAATCAGACCCAACTCACTTAAACACATTATTTAGTGATAGAAGATTCAGTCTCAATTGTGGTCACAAGCCGAGGACTACCTAAAGTTCACCTATAAGTGAACTTTTTCTATCCCAACCACAAAAATACTGCTTGCCCCAACTTTAATTGGATTCTGAGCTAGCAGAATTCACCAGAAGGCATGACAAGAAACAATGGATGGAAACTAATCAAGGAGAGAAGCAACCTGGAACTAAGGAGAAACTTCCTAAGAGTGAGGACAATTAACCAGTGGAACAGCTTGCCTTCAGAAGTTGTGGGTGCTTCATCACTGAGGTTTTTAAGAAAAGACTGGATAGTGGATAGCCACCTGTCTGAAATGGTATAGGGTCTCATGCTTGAGCAGGAGTTTGGACTAGAAGACCTCCAAGGTCCCTTCTAGCTCTCTTCTGACAATCCATATTCCTTGGTTTAATTGCATTCTGGAAGGTAATGCCAAAACGGCATTGACATGAACTTCAAGCCAAGAACAGAAGAGCATTTGTTAAGATACATTTTATAAACACTAATTTGATTTTGATTCTTTTCTGGAGTTTTATTTTATACGTATATAGTAACACACTACAATTCAGACTGAGCATTAAAGCCAAAATCTTTTTATCAAGGGAGAAGCAATTTTAGGACAAGCAAAAATCAGACTTGTAATTATTGTCACTGGCCAGAAAAAGAATCTGTAAAATAGAACACATTTCTAACAAGACATGATTCTTTTAAGTTCAATCTTGTAGGCATTGTGCAACTTAGGGGTGGACAGAGTTTTCAGGAATGATAGCTGTGACATTTTTGTTTAGTCTTTCTGACATGCATTGCAAGATGCAAACTGAGCTGGAATGTACATAATAAAGTTTTTTTTATTTACATACTAATCCCTTTACTTAAACGTGATTATTAACACAATTACTAAAGTTATTTCCAATATATTTTATGTATTTTTGTCCCATTAAATGCTATAATTTGGTGGGTACTTCTGGAGGGGCTTTTGAATCCCCACCCAAGATTATTGGATATCCAATGCAAATCTCAAATTGTGCCATGCTGGATAATGATGTGGTTGTGTTTTTTTCTCTTTAAAAACTGGCTAACTGCAATCTTCTCCTTTCATTTTAGAAACACATCTAAGTATTATATAAGCAGCCAGTTTAAATGGGGCATCAGCAATGTTGAACTAATGAATGAGAAAATGCTTCTTCCAAATGCAGAAGTTTGGAACATATCATGCAATATGTATGTAGTATGATCTTTCAATACCCTGGAGCAATTTACTAAGATACTGCTATCACAAATACAAACTTCAAGCAAACTAAGATCGCAGCCATGAAAAAGTGTTTCTTTGAAGCAAACCCTGAGCCACCAAAATATTTGTATGCTAGAGAAATTAAGCTTTCTAAAATATGCCATAAATACATGAATGTATGTATATTTCTGAGTGACCGAGAAGGAAATCTCACAATAAATTTCTGCATGCATACAGTTATGCCATTATCCCTGATTCAGCACATTTTGTGATTTCTTTGAAAGCGGATTATTCTAGTTTATATTAAATAAGCAACACTTTCCAAACGCAGTTATAATATTGAGCAATCGCTCCTTTTTTGTCCTTTTTCCAGGCACTACGTACATTCAAGAACTACTTTGGTGAACAATAATTTTTAAAAGCACTTGGGTGGATTTGGACCTCCCAACCAACCTCAAAATAATCATTTGGTTAGTTCCCAATAAAACATTTGGAGCGCCAGGAGATGATTTGATTGGCTGCAGAAATGAAATCACAATTGCCAAAAGGTGCAGATATACTGCTTTGAAGCCAATCGTGCTCTAGCCTCCCAAACAGCTGATCACAGCAGGCTGGTTAATCAGCAGGCACTAGTCCTATGGATAAGCCTGATGACTGGCCATCTTGGAGGGGCAGACAAAAATTAAGCAGATGTCATTTTTATCTAGTAAGTAACAAATCTAGTGAATTTTCTATGAATGCAGGAAGAGCAGTGCAAGGATCAGCCATGGTGGAAAAGGACGCAGCTGGAAAGTAGGGAGACATGTCAGTCAGAGTCACTGCTGCTGGAAGAGGAGGAGGAATGCTGAAAAGAAGAGAGAAAGTTTTCAATTGTCAAGTGTGGATAATTATGACATAAAACAGCTATGTTTATTTTTATGTATACACATTTGTTTTATAGCACACTTCTCCTTTCTGAGTACCACCACTATTACCACATTCTAGATATCTGGGGGTGAGGCTGAGCACTTTAACATCAACATCTATCTATCTGTACATTAGAAGTAAGGCAGCTTTTTTTTACCAGCAAAGATTGCAAGTAAAAAAAAAAATCTAAAAAGTTTCATTTAGTGGTTAAGGCATCAGGCTGGAAACCAGGAGACTTGAGTTCTAGTCCTGCCTTAGGCATAAAAGCTGGTTGGGTGACTTTGGGCAAGTCACTCTTTTCAACCCAACTCACAGGTTCTTATTAGGAAAACAGGGTGGGGTACAAGGCATGTTTGCCAGCTTGAGTTATTAATACAAATAAAATTTAAAAATCTAAAATAAATTTCAAAATCCCATTAATTCCTTGTCACTTCTGCAAGTCATTAATGCTAAATAGAGTAGATTATTATGCTCATTAATGCTCAATAGAGTAGAAAGCTATTTTGCAAGGTCTCAGTCATACTTGTAGAACTGAATTCATTTATATGACTATCCAACAATATGTTTTCTGGACAGCTTAACAGAATGGCAAAAGAATAAAACACAGTTTCACAGTGGTATAAGCAGCAAGGCAATTATTATGGAACAGTTTGGTGGTGGTGAAGCCTATTTCACATACTCTGGCGTGTCTATTTCCTGCTTTTTTTATTATCCCAACAAATCTCTTCTGCCAGTCCTACATGTATTTCATATCCATTACCCTTCATTTTTTCCAACTCTACTGTGGAAGAGATCTATAGGCCAGTAGTAGCCAAGTCATTGGAAGGTTCCTGGCACTTGCCTGGCTGGGATCACGCCTGAGCCTTTTTCCTCATCTAGATTCAAACAGTATCCAGGCTCAACTAAAACCTCCTAAGCTAAGAATTGGGCAGGGAGGAGAGGGAGGGAAGGAGGGAGAGAGAGATCACTTTAAACAGATATCACTTAAGGAAGAATGGTTTGAACCCTGTTGCACAGTAGAGAGCCCTAGGATATAGCATCTCCACTCTTCCCTACCACTGCCTAGTATCTTCCCCTTAGACTCCTATTCCTCTATGGAACAGTGCCGCCTCCTCCCTACAAAAAAAGTTGGAGACTGGATGATAGTTACCTAATATGCCGGGCCAAGCAATGGCTTCCTGGGGAAAGAGTGCACCATCACCTCTTTCAAAGCAGACAGAAGAATTCCTTCTTTCAAGGATGCATTGACTACTGCTCTGACACAGCCTTTTGGTACCTCCCTGGTGATGTTCACCAGCAAGCAAAGGGATGGTCCGAACCACTGGTGGCAGGACTAACATCACAAACAACTCTACCAACTTCTTTAAGATTAACAAGCTCAAACTCCTCCCGGGTAACTCTAATTAGACAAGGTTTACATAATCTCAAGAGGAGATTATCTCCAGCTTGTGGTGGCAAACTCCAAGCAAATCTAAGCAATTTGATCCTCTGGATATTTTAAACATTTCTCACAGTGGCCCAACAAATAATGTCCAAGCCTATCACTCTCTTAAAAAAAATCTGGGTGACCGTATGAACAGAAAAAAATACTGATGATTGTTCTTATATTCAAAGTGTAGGATCAAACCCAAGTTCCTACCTAGGTCTGATCAGATCATTCTTGGCTTTTAGCCAGGACCTTTCTAGGTGTCTTCTCTGCTAATTATTAATAAATAACATAGTTATCATTTTTTCTAGAATGAAGCGTTATTCCTTTTCTAGTTTTATAGTGCACACCAACCCGGAGAGTCGTTTTAAAAGAGAACTTTAGAAGATGTATTTTCATTCCATGTGGCTGTATGGATCTAATGAGTGAACGTAATCATATTAAGTTAATTTTATTTTTTATTTTTTTCAAAAAGCAAAATGTAGTCCTTTGATTGTAGAAATGTGCTGGGGGTGGTGGTGGAATGGCCGTTCGATATCGAGTAAAATAAATGTGGGCTTTTCAAGATTGCCCTATGGGGGGTCTCTAGTTATTAGACATGGAACAAGAGAGCCCAATCAGTAAGGCGTGAATAGCCGCCCCTCCCAATCCAAATGCTGATATCTGCACGTGGAGCTCTCTCTTCAGCCAACACCAATGGTGTTGATCAGTTGTTTGGAACGCAGCCAGGACAACAAAAGCAGCCTCTGTTTCAGATTGTCACTTCTGTGCTAATTGGTACATTGACTGCTTCTGAAATGTTCCTTCATGCATAGCCCCAGTGTAAACCAGGAATTAAACCTCATTGAGCAATGCTTCCCCTCTCCCCATCCCCAAAACAACATGTTCCTCTGTTCCTCCTACTCCTCTATCTCCACTACCAAGGAGCCAAGGAATTAATCCCAGATCCCAAATATGGATCCAAATCAAACAAGCCTTTGAGATTTTCAGAAAACGGAAGATACAGATTTGCGACAAAAATATACTTTGGCGGCAGTTGGAAATAAATCATTATTCACAATACCAAACGTGGCATCCAGCCAGGTTCTGGAGAACCGGTAACAGAAATTTTGAGTACTTTGGAGAACCGGCAAACAGGCTGCCCCTGCCCCCATTGCCTCCTAGCTGGTCTTCTTCTGTTGCCCTGAACAGGAGAACAGAGCTGGAAAGCAGGTTAGTGGGGTGGGGAGGGAATGGGGATTTTGCAGTAACCTTCTCCTGCCATGCCCATGAAGCCACGCCCACAGGACCAGTAGTAAAAAAATTTGAATCCCACCACTGCCCAATATGGATAGTCCTCAACTTACAACAGTTCTTTTAGTGACCATTTGAAGTAACAATGGCACTGGAAAAAAGTGACATGACCGTTTTTCACACTTATGACCTTTGCAGCATCCCCACAGTCACGTAATCAAAGTTCAGATGCTTAGCTTGTATTTATGACTCGTATTTATGACGGTTGCAGTGTGCCAGGGTCGTGTGATCACCTTTTGCAACCTTCTGATAAGCAAAAGTCGACGGGGAAGCCAGGTTCACTTAACAACTGTGTTACTAACTGCAGTGATTCAATTAACAACTGTGACAAGAAAGGTCACAAAATGGGGGGGAAAGCTCGCTTTTAGCAACAGAAAATTTGGGCTCAATTGTGGTCATAAATCAAAGACTACCTGTACAGCCTAGGTTTGCCATCTCACTCTTCTCTACTGACCTTTCCATGCCCCTTGTGGTGTGGTTTATTCATTTTGTGTGCCTTCTTCATCTTCTTCTTCATCTTTTTAGCAGCTTTCTTGTCCATCGGGTAGGCGCCCACAGCAGCAGCCCCGGGCATCAATGGATTGACTCCGATTCCTCCTGGCATCCCAGGAACAAGTGGGGGAAAAGGACCACCAGGTAGGATAGGCTGATGACCAGGATACGGGGGCTGAATGGGATGGCCAGGGGGATAGGCAGGTTGCCCTGGGATCCCTACTGGGGGAACAGGGCAGGGGCCAGCCGGCATAGGTGCTGGAGGGAATGCAGGGTTCACAGGAGGTGGGTATGCAGGATTGAAGCCACCTGGGTAAGAAGGGTTGGGGGGATGTGCTGCTCCGGGGAAGGCACCTGGCTGCCCTAAAATGAAAGGTAAGAAGAAACAATATATCTGTTACTTGGTGAAACAAATCCAGCTGTAGCCATCTTTGTAGAATGCCTATCAAATGAAGGGCTAATTTGCTCACAGAATTTCTGGTTATATTTTGTAGCTTATATATTCTATATACAAAACTCAATTCCTTCCTCACCTGCTGCACCCAGAATGCTGCTAAACTGGGGTATTCCATGACACCGTCTGACCGTTTTGAGAAAGCCCAATACATTGGGATTAAGATCAGACTGGGAAAGGCTAGTTAGTTATCATCCTCAACTCATGATGGATGCAAATAGCACCAGCTCCTATTTTCCCCACAATTTTATAGTGTGCTCAGTGATAACTGTAAAACCCCTCGATACAGCAGATTCTTACCCAATGGCAATTGCAAATGCTTTTGCTCTTTGAGCAACATCATAAAGATGCTTTGGCTTGGGTGGTTTTTGTAAATAGAATTTATCCAAAGCTAACCGAATTATGAAACTATCCCCTCTCCCCCACATTAGCAAATGAGGTTATCTTAAGTTCCATCTCTTAGGGCAAATTGGGGGTGAATGTCTCAGAGACCACGGCAAAGGATTCCTCCGTGTTTGTGGGTTTCAACCTTAAGCATGTCTCTTAAAAGGAAAAATCCAAATGAGCCAATGGTGAAGTGTATCTGGCAGGCAGCAGTAAGGAAAACATACAGGAAGTTCTTCCACAGATTATTGGAGACAGACTAATTCGGCTGCAGGAAGTGGGCTGGCTGAAGTTAATTGCAACCGGCCATAAATGCCTGCAGCGTTGCTTCTGGACAGATTTCCTTTCCACAGGAAATTTGCAAGATTTTTGCCACCAATGTGCTAATGCTGTTACATTGACAATGTTAGGAGACATCAACAAAATGGCATTTAAGTTATTACGGGGGTGGGGAGACAGAGAGAGACAGAGAGACCATGGCAACAAATGTATTAATTCAGCAAGGATCCTGCATTCCAAACCTTTATGGGTAGCTGCCAAAGGCTGGTCTCCATTAAAGCCTCCAGTCACGAGGCCAACTACTTGCCCAGAGAGATTTAATAGGCAATGACACACTGTACTCAATTTGGGCTTTTAGAGAAGTATCCTAGCAAATCCCATTAAATCGCCTTCCCTTTTTTACCTGCATTGGGATCCCACATGGTCCTTCACAAGAGAACAATCTGCCAATTGAAGGAAAAAGACACAAAAGTAAGACCAACAATGTAAAATTAGAATTGGCCGTCAGTACTGCCCAAACCACCTCTAGTGAAACATGCATTGAAGCCCTTTTCAATTTAATCTTTCTCCAGGGTCAAGTTGCACATGGCAGGTGTACATCTATGTATTTTAGATATACATCGTTTGTTTTCATCATGGTTTGGAACAAATTATAGTGGCCTGTTTCATTTATAAAGCCAAACCATAAATCGTGAGTTATAAACAATTGTGGTTGATTTCACACATCTCATGAAGAACCTCCTCCCATCTGCCCTCCCCTCCCCCCCTAGTACAAAAATATGATGTATAAATTCAGCAACAAGTAATTTGGGAAAACAGCACAGTGTGAATTTCAGGATTCTTGACATATTTTTTCATATATATATTTTAGTATTTGTAGTTCTTACTCATACCGATTTAAACAATATCCTTCACAGCAGGATAGAAAATGCACCCAAATACAAGAAAGCAGTTTAAAAAAATGGGATGAAGTTTTCTAATATTCATGTTTCATGCAAAACTCTCAATAGGTTTGGAGAATTATTAAAAAAAAAGAAACCTTTTGAATTTTGAGAAACTACCCATGTTTTATTCCCTTTTGAGATAAATCAGGCTATGCGAAATGCAGAAAAATATCAAGTTGTAGTAAACAAAAGAAATTAAAGACAGGCGATAACAAAAAAGAGCAATCTAAATGCCATTCACTTTATAGCCTTTTCTACTTTTCTATCCTTGAAACCATCTTTGCTTCCACTAAGCTCATGCACCACATTGCCTTTTGCTCTTTTTGGGGTCTCCTTCAGCCATAACTTTCTCAGTTTTTACACTTCCTTCATAGACAGGCAGTCCTCGACTTACAACCAAAATTGGGACCAGAATTTCTGTTGCTAAGTAAAGCGGCTGTTGAATCATGCCTGATTTATTATCTTTTAAAGCCATGTTTGTTAAGCGATTCGCTGCTGTTGTTAAATGAATTATGTGGTTGTTAAGCAGATCTAGCCTCCTTCGTTGATGTTGCTTGTCATTTTCCCATCTTTGGCAAGTTTCCACCAAGATATACAAATTCACCCCCTTGCTCTAGGGTTTACCAATTATGTATAACTTGCAATTATTCACTCCATTTTCAGTCAGACCCAGTTATTTTCTAATCCATATTCCATTTTCAACTATTTTGTATTTTCCATAATTCAAGTCAAGTCTACCCATTTTATTATATGCTTTTTCTGAATTAAAAAAAATGTAATAAATTTTATATGTCACAATCAGACAGTTTGCAAACTTTCTGGCATAAAGTTGCAGAACGCTTCCCACATTTTGTTCATTGTTACCTCTTGAATCGTTTCTCCCAACATGCCCAAGCCATTCCATATACAAAATTTCATAACTGAACTTTTTTTTTATCTACACCATCTACATCTGCAGTCTTGTTCAACAAATTCACAGTACCAAGATTTGTTTAAAATAACTTTTCCTCAAACCCAAACATTTGCAATGTACATTTCAACTCTGTTTTTGACATCTCACTATCATTCCCAAACTTATTTCTAAAAAAACACCATCATATTTCCCCCTCACTATATTTAAATTAGGTCTCTCTCTCTCCCTCCCTCCCTCCCTCCCTCTCTCTCTGCTGAACTTTCCCCACATAATTATTATTGTGAGGAAAAAAGAGGAGGAAGAAGATGACACATTGAATTGGTGAATGAAAGGCCAGATACAAAATAATCACTTAAATAAAATAAGTTCAGCACGTTTATTTTTAGTTCCATTGCCTCTGCTAAAGGTTCCTTCTTTAGCCATTTTCATCCACTTTGAAAACAATTCTTTTATTTCTACACAAATATTCTACATTTTCTTCTGTCTTTTTCTGATCTATTCCTTAGTCTTTGACTACATTTGCTGCCCTTTTTTTCTTCCTAAACACATTATATCATATCTTTCCTGCAGCAGGAACTATTGCCTTTTGTTTTTTTCTCACCCACATCCTTTTTCATCTCAAGGGGCCATGAAATATTATTTCTTATATTCCCCAATAGCATAACTACAGGCTTTCCTTTCCTTAAACCATTTTAGAAATCCTAGCATTGGTGTGTTATCTAAATGAGATTAAAACATTTAATATTGAACTGAACATTCAGGGCAAGAAATACATTATTTCAATGTTTAGAATTCCTTTTGGCCATGAAGTCATTAAGGTATCCATAAAATGATTTAAATACAAAATGTTACTTTCTTTCAACAATGTCCTTACAATTCCACAATAAATATTACAGCTTTTCATTTCTAATTGCGCTCATGTATACTCAAAACAACATTTAAAAGGACAAAATAGAATTAGCATCCTCCGGTTTTAAGGTCTTAATGTTCCAAGACCAAATGATGGGAACACACATCGACCAATACATCTCCATCAAAGTAAATCAATTTTGTTATTGCAATTAGACTAAAAGAATACATGACTGAAACCTGGCCAAGAAAGCTACATAAATTACTCTGCATTAGACTGAGGCAGGATAAAAAGCCCCACTCTTTTTCACTTACTGAATCCAGAAAGGTTAACAATTTTCCTGCCAAATATATTTAGATCCTCCATTACAATTTGCTTCTTATGCAAACTCTTTACTGAAGTCTTGCTATAGGGAGAAACTGACTGCAAATGCCATTCTAACAAATCCTCATCCCCTTAGGCAGGATGATTCCCTCATTGGCAATTTCTGCATTGAAATACACAAGGCGCCCTGAAATGGTCATTGTTAATGTATACACTTTTTTCTCTATGAACATTTGCACTGCTGCTATTGTAGGAATTTTGGCTTTAAAGTACTAAGTGCATAACCCACCCACCCCCAAATGTTGCAGGTCAGGAACCAATATTTGCAGCTAAGGAAGCAGCAAGTCTATAGTGCTGAAAAAGAAAAGGCTTTATCTATATCAGGGCTCCTCAAACGTTTTAAACAGGGGGCCAATTCAGAGTCACTCAGACTGTTGGGGGGGGGGGCAGACTGGCTGGGGGGGCGTGGCTAGGTGGTCATGTGACTGGGTGGGTATGGCTAAGTCTTGTGAATAGGTGGGCGTGGCCAATTTAACAGTCCGTTGAACAATGCATACAGATTAACCTAATTTGTTTTGCTTCTGGGGGTGTTTCATTTGCTTTTGTTTGCATGTTGCTCTTTTGGTTGCCTTTTCTTTTTACTAGATCATTTTTTCAGTTGTTTAGGAGTCTAGTGGTCCACTTCAGGAAACTCAGTTTTGTAGTAATTCTTCTCAGCCGCAAGGAAATTGAGAAATCTCCCTCCCCTCTTTCTCTGCCCCCCCCCATTTCTGTCTATCTATCTTTATCTTCTGGGGGTAAGGTAGGTGAAAAATGGGCCATTTTCACCCATTTTTGGGCCTCCTGGGCATCTGTGTGCCTCATTTTCCACCTCCCCCACCTATAGAACGTCTCTGCAGGCCAAAATTGTTGGCCTTACCTTTTAGTTCCAGCCCGTGGAGGTAAGTTTTGTGCTCTGCCGAAGGGTGGGTGGGGTGATGTGGGTGGAGCAGCCTCCTGGTCTGGTATGGGCCAGATTAATGGCTTCGGCGGGCCACACGAGGCCTCTAGGCCGTAGTTTGAGGACCCATGATCTACATCATTTCAATCGCTCTTCCGCCATTATTAAAACTAATATTATCCCTTCATAATTCAACAAGTATGTTGAGAGAATAAAAAGGCTTGTTTAAGGCAGGATGTTAACAAGGGAAATGCCTAGCACAACAAACTAGCTCATGAAGGTTCTGAATTGAAGGCTTTGTCCAAGACACTAAGTTTTTAGGTATGATTTATATCTGAAATGTTTATTCATTAATCACATTTAAAAGCCACCTTTCTCATCACAACTTTTGATGGTATACAAATAAATAATCAATATTCATAAAAAACAGAATCATAGATTCATAGGGGCTGGAAGGTAGTCCGGAGGTCTTCTAGTCCAACTCCCTGCTCAAGGCAGCAGTCTTATATTATCCCAGTCAGATGGTTGTCCAATCTATTTTTGAAAACCTATAGTGATGGGGCACCCACACACCCAGGAAGCAAACTATTCCACCGATTAATTACTCTCATTGTCAGAAAAATTATCTTTACTTCTAGTTTGGATCTCTCTTTAACAAGCTTCCACCCATTACTTCTTGTCCTGCCCTTTGATACCCTAGAGAGTAAGTCAATCCCCTCTTTGTGAAGGCCCAAGTATTAGAAGACAGCTATTACATATGTTCCCCTCAATCCTTCTCTTCAATAGGCTAGACATACCTAGTTCCCTCAACCATTTGTCATATGATTTAGCCTCCAGATCCTTTATCATCTTTGTTGCTTTTCGCTACAGACTTTCCAGGTTCTCAACATCTTTTTTGCATCGTGATGACAATAACTGGTTGCAGTATTCTAAGTGTGGTCTCACAAGCATGGTGTAAATCAGTACTGTCACTCCTTGTCTTGATGCTATTCCCCTGTTGTTGCAGCTTAGGACTGCACTGGCTTTTTTTTTTTTGACAGCTGCAGTACACTGCTGGTTCATACTTATGTAATAGCCCACTAGGATTCATAGATTCCCTATCCCAATTACTATTGTTGAGCCAGGTACTATCTATTACCTTTTTGTTGTCACATGCCGAAAGTGTGTGCACGACAGCAAACGCCCATGCCCGCATCCATAATGCAATGTGCAGCGCCCCCCTACAAGCCCATCCCTGCGCATCCATGCGTGACCTCTGTGCTTCCCCCATCCCCTGTGCATGCACATAGATTCCCCATGCTCCCTGTTTTGGGCCTAGTAGGCCTCCCTGCAGCCTCCTGGGAGCAAAAATGCCCCTCCCGATGCATGCATCCCACCCTGTGCATGCGTTACAGAGACCCGAAAAAAAGCTGGCTGGCAAGAGGCATGCATGCGTGCATGGTGGAGCTGATCTGGGGTGATGGCTTGCATGC